CCCCGTCCCGTAGTGGCAGCCTCGTTGCGAGCGCTTCTGCCTTGGCCCTGGCGCTTCGGGACTCCGCTGCAGTTCAGTTTTGTGGTCTGGAATGAGCCTGGAGGATGAGGGTGTGGAAAAGCACTTGGGGTATCTCAGTCCCGGAGCCCTGAACACAAGCGTTTGCGCTTCGGGTGGAGAGAGGCTTGGGAGCTCGCTGCGTTGGTGGAGCGTGTCGAAGGACAGGCAAGGCGTCGGGTTTGGAAACGGGACCGAACGAGACCCCCTGCGTTTGGATCCCATCCCGCCTTCCTCCTTGCTGTGACCTGGACACGTCTCTAGAGGGTGAAGGCAAGACCTGAGGCTGGGGCCACGCTGCTTGTCTTGGGGTGGCGACTGCCCCCGCGGCCCCGCGCAGCTCCCGCCGCTAGGACAGAGGTCGCCTCCGCTGCTTGTTGGACGTAGCCGCTTGGGAAAACAGACCGTTCCACTGTTGGGTGCTTTGTTGCAGGGAAGAAGAGGGAGTTCAGGTTCCATCCAATCAAAGAGACCATTGTGGAGGAGCCTGTTGATATCACGCCGTTCCTGGACCAGCTGGATGAGTCGCTGAAGGATAAAGTCCTGCAGCTGCAGAAGGGAAGGTTGGTGTCGTTGGGCCGTGTTACGTTTCGTGTTGATCTTCAGGGCAACCACACACGAGACCTTTTGGTCCTGTCGTACAAGGCTGCTCGCTCCAGAGCCCGTCTCTCAGAGCTAGCGCGATCTTCTGTCCCTCTGACACGCAGGGGTCCTGCACAGTTCCTGCAGGGAATGTCCAGGTGGTTTTGGAAAGTGCTGGGTTAAGAGCCTTGTAATTAGTCCTCGGAGCGGGCTCAGAACAGGACACCTCAGCCCCTTTGCTGGGGGCTGCAGCATTTCTCTGCATCAGTGACAGGAGGGCGAAAGGCAGAGTTTCATCCTTCTCCGCTGTCGGACTGACGAGGGGAGGCGGCGTCGGCCTTTGGGGCTATCGCTGCCGGCCGGGGGGGGTTCAGCGCACCTCTGCGTGGGACAGGGAGGTCCCTGTGTCTGCGCTTTCTCTGGACTTCCCCACCTCCACTCTCGATTTTCAGTGACCTTGGAATTAACTCCATCTAAAGAAGGCTGAAAAAAAGCTCTTGCTTTGCAGACCTTGGCATAGAGGACTGATGTAACGTGATTTACGTCTTCGTGGCTTTAAGTGCATTTAATCTTATGCTTTTAGTCATTTAATTTGTCTGGCTGCAGACAGCCTCGGGCACTCTTCTGTGTAGGTGCTGCAGCAGTGCAGCGTGTTCTTGTGCGACTGTGTGGGCTTCGGAGCCTGGCACCAACGCCACGCGGAGCCTCCCCCGACTCTCAGGTCCTGGGGGGCTCCCGAGCAGAGCCAGCTCAGCACAAAGCCCCCTTGTCCCTGCTCTCAGTATCTTCCTATGTAACTTGGATTTCCTCTTGTTTTTGTGCTCCAGCGATACGGAAGCTCAGTGTGAGGTCATGCAGGAAATCGTGGATCAAGTGCTGGAGGTAACTGCACAGACCCGGGGAGCAGCGCTGCTGCCTGACTGGGAAACCAGAGCAGCTGGAGTGGCGTGGACTGGGCAGCTCCCAGCCTGCGTGGCTCTGCCCCGAGAGCTCTGACCGAAGGAGGGACAGAGAAGCCTGAGGTCACCCAGATCCTAAATGGGTTCAAAAGGGCGCTGTGCAGCTCTGCCCCTGGTTGCTACGCACGGCCCCAAGCCGCTGCTTTTCCGTCCGTGCTCTGGTTCCTTGTGCCTAAATGTCCCCAGGAGCTGCTGTCAGGCGGGCTGCTGGGGGAGGCACGCTCCCAGTTTGACCCCACAGGGCTGCTGTGGTGTCTGGAGAGCTCCTGGGGACTCCCGCCTGCGCCCGTGGGTGCTCCCTTGCTTTTGGCCCCGGGCTTTGGGCTCGGGCGAGGCTGCAGCGAGCCGTGCCCCGGCAGAAGAGCTGCGGATGTTTTCCAGGAGCTGAGAGTTCAAGGGAGGTTGCATCCCCTGCCTCTCGTCAGCTCCATTTAGAGTCAAGTGGCCTTTTTAGCATGCGAGAGCTGCTTTTCTCCTCTGTGGGAACACGGGGAAAGGGCTTGTCAGGGTGAAAATCCTCCTTGCCGAGTGCTTTCAGTCCCTGTTAGCCCTTTGCAGAGGGAGAGCTGAGCTCAGTGAATTACTAGCCATTAGAGGATAAGTGGACCACAGTGACCGTGAAGTGCTTCAGAGCTGGACATCGATCAGGCGCTTGTCTGGCTGATGACCAGCTCCTGGTGCTGCAGTACCGCAGCAAAATGGCCCCTGGGCAGCCTGGGGTCCGTTCCCCGCAGCAGTGACTCTGCTGTGTCCCTTCCAGCTGTAGCTGTGCTGGGCAGGCAGGGTCTGAGCTTGTGCTTTCTCCTCTCATTCTTTCCTTTCTCTCTACCAGGAGGACTTTGACTCGGAGCAGTTGTCAGTGCTCGCATCCTGCCTCCAGGAGCTATTTAAGGCTCACTTCCGTGGTGAGGTTTTGCCAGAAGAAATCACGGAGGAGTAAGGATCTGTTTTCTCTGTGTCTTATCCTTTCACACTGGGACTTGGGCTTTTCCCAGTAAGATATTCAACATTTTCGGAAGGCTGTGCTGGAGCCAGCAGCTTCCCCTGTGAAGCAATTCAGGGTTCACAGGCGGTCAGTGCGGAGCTGGTCAGCAGTTGTCGTGTCCAGGACTTGAAAGAGACCATCTTCCTCCTCCCCCCAAGTGCAGGGAGAACCTCCTGCCACAGGGCCGTGGGTCAGAGTTCAGTTTAGGTGATGCTACGGTGGCTTCTGGCTGTCTGACCAGGGCACACAAGGTCCTCCCTACTCCATCTGTCCCTGCTGTACTCACACAAACCAGCACCCTACACCCTTCCTCTGGGATTTTGCTGGAACGGGGCTTGGAGTGAGAGCTGCCGGGTTCTGTAGCGGGACTGTTCCCGTCTCCTCGTTAGCCAGGGCGAACCCTTGATGGCCCAAGGACCACAGCAAGCCAGGGCCAGGGCTTTTTCCCTGCCCTCGCTGGGGAAGCGCAGAGGGTGGGAGCACCCAGAGCTCTGACTGTTGCGTTTGTCCCGCAGGTCTCTGGAGGAGTCGGTGGGGAAGCCTCTCTACCTAATATTTAGGTACGTCTGGTCTGAACTTGGTGACTAATCCAGTGAGGGCTTTCGTGTTTGTCTCCGGGCCACCACCGTGGGTGAACCCTGTGGGTCTAATTCTGCCGCACCCCAGCTTGCCCCAGGGCTGATCCCAGAGTTTATTGCTTCGTTCTGCCTAGGTTGCGTTTTCTTTAGTCGAAAAGACTTAAAACACAGGAAAATCACAGCTCATGGGGTCATTTGTGGAAGCCTGGGGTCGCCGGGTGGCTGAAGTTTGCTTGGTCCTGACCGCTCTGAGGCGGCACGTCCCGCTGTCCTCTGCAGCGGGGGTGGGAGAGGTGTCCAGTCCGGAGGGCGAGTGGCCGGGACCGCCTGGTACTGGGAGCTGGATTTCCCTGCAAGGCGCAGGTTCCTCGCGCGTGGTCTCCCCTGTAACGCGGCTGCCTCCCTGCCCTGCCCTTCCCCAGGAACCTCTGCCAGATGCAGGAGGATAATAGCGGCTTCTCGCTGCTGCTGGATCTCCTCTCAGAGCTCTATCAGAAGCAACCCAAGATCGGCTACCACCTCCTGTACTACTTAAAAGCCAGGTAGGCCGCTGGGGGTGGCAGGGAAGCGCCCAAGCTTCGACTGGGCTCGCACTGCCTCCCGGAGACGGCTCGGTGTCGCCACCAGCACCACCCCGGCGCGGGGCTGGCGGGCTCCTCGGCTCCTCTCTCACCTGGGCACGTCTCCTTCCAGCAAAGCTGCCGCGGGGAAGATGAACCTGTACGAGTCCTTCGCGCAGGCCACGCAGCTGGGCGACCTGCACACGTGTCTGATGATGGACATGAAGGCCTGCCAGGAAGACGACGTACGGCTGCTCTGCTACCTCACCCCCTCCATTTACACAGAGGTAAGGCGCCTGCCAGGCACCGGGAACCCCAGTTCGGGTGCACCCGGGTGCTCCCTCGCCGTCCTGCGGGCAGGCTCGGGGCC